GCTTTTGCTGAATGGAAACAGTGTGTACCTGGGAAAAAGGCTTGGAAAGTCTTTCTTACTGTGCCTGTGTTTGCTAGGGCCTGGTGGGTAAATACAAAGACTCTTGCTGCTAGGAAAGCTGCACAATAGTTTCTGTCTTTACACCTTTTCCATCTCAGCAGCAGCAGTAGCCAGCCCATTTCTCTGGGGTGCTGCCACTGACAAAGCAGGAGTAGAACCAGGTCCCTATGTTCCCTCCTTTCCTATCTACTTCCTGGGGCAGCTTCAGCCTCCTTCCCAAGAGAAAACTCTGCTGTTAACGCCTGAATTGAGCTGCATTACAAAAGCCTGTGGTATCTTGCAACTAAGTATGCCTGCAGCTGTTGGGAAGTGAGGGAAGGGACTCTGAGAACAGCCAGTTCCCTTCTTTGGAGTGATCTCCCACCAGTTGCCAGTTCCTGAACTTTGGCTCAGGCCAGGAGGCAGTCAGCAAAGGAGATAATTGCCTGGCAGTGATTGATACAAAGTCAAGGGTGAGTGGGGAAGAATGAGCAGGGAGGGTTGTGTTTCAGAGAGATGTATTTTTGTTTAGCATTTGTCTATGCAGGCAGTTGCGGGCTTTTCTCCATCACATCAGCTTAAACTTGAGGAGGAGGACTCGTCATTTTATACCTTTTCAGCATTTCAGCTGGTTCTGCTGAAATCTATATGGAGATAAAAATGAGAAGGGAAAGAAAATTGATTTTCCTACCTTCAGCCAGGACAGAGAAAAAGTACTCAAGGCTAAATGAAAGTTCAGAGTTTTTTTGACTATACAAAGTGGAGAGGAAGGAGCAAACACCTGCCAGTAATAAATAACTATTAGGAAACTGTATTAGGAAATACTGCCATAAAGAAGCGCTGCTGCTAGGATCTGCTTTCAGCGTTGGAGTATCCATAGCCAGGCAGCTCAACATTTATTTAGATATCAACAGCTTGTGTGCAACTTCTCTCAAATGCAGAGCAGCAGCACTATGAGAGAAGCCAGCACTCAGCACTCTGACAAAGAAGCAGTCATTACAGAACAGGGCATTTCAGCTTTCCAGGCAGTAATACCTACAGTTAGCAACAGCATCATGTACTTTAGCAAATTTACATTCAAACTGTTATCTACAAAGGGAAATAAAGCTTATCTGTAGCCTTTTGCAAGTAACTTTGATACTGATCTTTATAGCCATTCTTCCAGTAAGAGAACCTATGAATTATAGACTGCTTAAACTAAACTAAATGTGGAGACGTTAGTAAAAGCACTATCTGTCTGCTAATAAGGGCTTACATTTTTACCAAGTTTGGAAATATAATTGCCAAACAGTTCCAGCACTCTGAGCCAGAGCAAAATGTCCTCAGTTATGCACAAAAGTTGCTGCACTAGAAATGTTCTTTGTGTTTTTTTTTCAAGACTGTAGTGTTAGGCAGTGTATTCTGCCCTGCGGCCCATTTCTTCACTGGGCTGCTTAATCAAGGCAGAGTCTACTGGACAGAAAGACAAAGCATGGCATAAAACCAGGACATCAAACAGGTTCAGCCAGAATCACGTACAGGGCCTTTGAGCAGGCAGTCAGCCCATCACAGGTAGGACTGCCAGTAGCGTGTCCCAAGGACTGGGGCAGAGCTGGGATCCTTACAGCCTTGCTTCCCAGCCTATGGGGGAGTTCACACTGTGAGGGAAGTAGCTCCTAGCAGTTCTTTAGGTGAGAAGCAAACGTCCCTGTGAAGCAGCTGCAGAGGGAGCTGGGCCTATTTTCAAATGGGAGCAATTAAGCAACATTATTGAAGTTCTTCAGTGCAGAGTGTATCCAATGGCACCAGCAGCCTCTTACTGTTGAGCCGGCAGGCTTTTTCGTTTGCGGTCTGTAAAAGGAAGCAGCATTATGGCTGGAACCCAGGTGTCATGAGAAGAACCTTCTCACACAGCACGAATGTGGTACATTCCTGCCCAGTGGCTGTGAAGCACCGGAAGAGACTATTTTGGCCATGGTGAAAGATTACTTGTTCTAGGACAAGTCCCAAAATACCAGCTACCAGTTTATTCTGGTTGTTGTTCCACAGCTGATGGCAAGAATGTCCTCTGCAAACCCAAACCCCTGAGACCAGTGTGAAAGTCAGGAGTAACGTAGACTTATTCTTTCATGATACAAGGGGATTAAGTTAGGTAACATTAAAAACATAATAATGGAATATACACAAGTGCATGGGACCCCGTGGGATACATTCACAACTACTGAGTGAACTGGCTGATGTCATTGCAAGGTCACTCTTGGCTGTCTTTGAAAAGTTGCAGTAATCAGGGAAAGTTCCTGAGGACTGGAAGAAATTACATGTGAGCCTAATCTTCAAGAAAAGCAAGAAGAAAAATCTGGGGAAGTACAGCCCAGTAAACCCTACCTCAACCCCTGGGAAAGTGATGGAGCAGATTCTCCAGGACGTCATTTCCTTGGAAGGCCAAGAAGGTGAGTGAGAGAGCTGCCAGCACAGATCTGGAAGGGGGGAATTCAAGACTGCCCAGCCTAGCAGCTTTTGATGATGAAATGACTGGCTCAGCGAATGACAGAGGCAGACTCTTCCTAGCAGCAGTGGGCACAAATTGAAAACTGGGAAATTCTATTTTAATGTAAGAGAAATTTATTTTGCTGTGAAGGCGACTAACATTGAAGCAGGTTGTCCAGAGAGGCTGCAGAGCCACTGTCCTTAGAGATATTCATAAGCCAACTGGAGGCAGTCCTGAGCAACTCTCAGGAAAGTTGGACCCAGCTCAACTTTCAACAATTGGATCTAAGCTCTGTCTATTCTTTCCCAACAAGCACCTGACGGTGGCCAACAGCAGATACTTCTGGAAAGAACACAAGAAGTAAAGCACTCTGTGTGACTTCCCTAGCACATACTCCCAGTTCTTAACAACCTGCAACTCAGGAATTCCTAGTGCAAGAAGTGATAGATAACCGTATCAGTTTTCAGTAGTTCTTGAGCTTTTGAACAAACAAGCAGATGTGTCCGATCAGCCTACTTTAAACATTTCTCCTCCCACAGCTGTTGTTGCAAAGCAACCCTTCATTCTTGGTCTCCTTCTTCTTTATTTAACTTCGCTAGAAGTACCAAATGGAGTCGATCTTATTAAACAAACAGTATTTCTTAATGCAAAATACAAAACTCTGTAAAAATATCAGGGTGGGGATAATACAATTAGGATAACTGTAATTGGAAAAAGGATCTGAAGTTCTTAAAAAATACAAAGTTACATTTAAAAGGTAGGTATTAAAGAAAGGGACAGCTTGGTAGAAGGGAGATAGTTTATAGTTACTAGTAACAGCTGAAGTATTAGAGAGTGCAGGAAGTCTCAGTCTTTCCAAACAAGTCCTGCTTCAGGCTACAGGCAGGTGAGACTGAGCTGGCACCAGCACAGCCAAGGTTCGACTGCAGGCCAGCCCATAGGTTAAGAGAAGGCTTCACAGAACCCAGCTCACAGAAAGTCTCCTGTTCCCCCTCACCACAAGATGAAAGAATTACAGTCTTCCTCACAAGGGTAGATGGGCAGAAGAGGCTCCTACCTTCCAGCTGCCTGTCTGTCCTGCTAGAGGCATAAAACCTCTGAAGCCTGACTCAAAAAGCTACAGCTGCCACGACTGGAAACACTAGGCATCAGCTGGTGCTCTTGCTTACTTTCCTCTGACTTTGCCTTTAGATCTGCTTTGTCCATCCTGTTGACAGCCCCATACAGCCATCTGCTGGGCAATAGCATTTAAAAAAAAAAAAAAAAAAAAAAAAAAAACCAGTCTAGAACAGCACTTACAACCAAGACTATAGTTCCATTCTTTCTAGTTTCCTATGAGATCAGAAGCTGAACATGAAGCATTCTTTAGTTGACAGGACAGGTGGAACAGTGTTAAAGATCAGTATTTGGAATTTTGAAAGGAGATGCATGGTACACACACTTCTGTCCCTCACAAGAAGCATTGCTATTTCTGTAATGCTTAAGTAAAAGGGAATAAAAAATTGAAGCTTTATGACACTTCGTAAAGCTGAGACAAATTGCTGTTAGGCATCACAGTTCCTGCACAGAGGTTAGAGAGATGATCAGAATAACTAGAGAATCAAAGCCAGGGAGAGCATTTGGTGGTTAGGAAACACACATCCATAAAAGCAGACTTAGTCCTCTCGACATTAGTTTGAATTTAGCCTCAACAAACCTAGAGAGCTGTGTTTAAAACAGTTACACAGAATAACATCCTTTAATTACTATTTCTCTGAATTAGCATTAACTCAGTGTTAAGTAATTCATTCATCCACAGCAGTGACTTTGAGAAGCAGGAGTAGCAGCAGGTTTCTAGGCAGCAAGGAATGGGGATGGTCTGCCACTGGTAAGAAAGCGGGGAAAATATGGGGCAGCTCCAAGCAACTGGCTTTTCCCATATGGGGGGCTTCCTCATTAGTTTTACACCTCCCACCTTCTCCCTGAGGCAGACTCTCTTCCAAAGAACTGGGAAGGAGAACACGATTCTGAAGCAGCACTGGGTGGGATGTATTCAGGAACAACTCATTTGTCGAAAGCCAAGGTGAGTTTGTTTCTTTACAGCATAGACAAATAGGCCACAGCAAATCAAGAACAACCTCTCAGCTGCCCTTTCTGTGTGGCAACAGTACAGACTCGTTCCCTAAGCAGCCCTGCATCCACGTCCGGGCCTTTTCCTGAAAAACATCAAATCCTTTCCTCGGACAAGAGGTTTTATTTAGCACCTGGCTTTATAGTTAAAGAGCTTCAGCTATAACAGCACGTTGTGTTTGCCTTTCTAGTCCTGCTAAGTGCAGAACATTCATTTTCCAGTATCACGTTAAAGAACCAAAAACCTGAAAGCTAAAAGGCAAACAGTTAAAGATTAAAAGCAGTAAGGCACAGCCTATTTTTCATAGACATCTAAGAATTAAGAATTGAAAAATTTTGCCAAACTAACCATGCATGACCAGACAAAAATAAACCGAAGCACACATTCAAGCCAAGCAGGAGCCAGCTTTATTGAGTTTTGGTAACACGGCAACAAAATCAGGAGAAAATAAAGGTGCTTTTTTTTGCCTCTTAGCATTAGTAATTTCTCAAATTAAAATGCGATAATGTTCAATAATACTACAAGAAAACAGAGGAACAGAAGTTAGAATAAAGTTAGACGAGATTGCAGAGCCAGTGTCACCTTCATATTTCCCCCTTGTGTCAGAGTAATTGAGTTCCTAGAAGTCCTGTTAAAATTTCTTAGGTGAGGGACTGAACCTCCAGGATGCAGCATTTGGTGAATCAGGTACATCACGGGCTGCTATGAATCATGCTGTACTTGTGAAACTACGTTTGGGATATGTTCAGTGGAAAGGAAGGTGACAAAGGGGTTTCAGAGAAAAGTTCAGGTGAGTCAAACACATTTCCCCACTGGCTACCTTAGTCAAGTTTATAACAAGTGCCTGAGCGTAATTCATTTTTCCCTAGTTCTATAGAGAAGATCAGTGTGTAATAGTGTTAAGTACCTGTAATACCTATCAACCCACCAAAACATAACTCTAATCTCATCTGCTTTGTTCCTTATTTGCTGCATCATATGCATGTAGCATTAAAATGGCTGTCACCATGCAAACATCCACAACTAAAATACTGCATAAGATGAGAACACTACTTGACACTGCTTGTAGATACTAGTATGTGCAGCTGCTAACTTAGGCACTGAGAGTAAAGCACACACTGCCTAACAATTATTTCAAGCAACTTAGCATTAATAACTACGTGTCTCTTCAGTAAACAAAGAATTTATTTTGGAAGTCTCCCCTTCTTCCATAAGGAAGTACTTAAGGTGTAGTGTGTGTTAGCAGCATTACTGCTGTGGTACATTGGCTCAGAATACAGGTGTATCACCTCTAGCTCTTCATCAACTCTATTTCAGAGTCATGCCTTTCTGAATGGCACATAGCACCACCTAAAGAATGTGAGGAAGGCAAAAAGGTATTAGGCAAGTAATCATTCCTGAAACTTCAAGTGATCGTTCATTTATTCCTTTGAGGCAGACTTGTACTCTCTTCCCTCTCCTAATTTCCAAAGACTTCGTAATCTTCATAGACCTGGTACAATCCAATTAAGAAACTTCATAGCAACTTCAAAACCAAGAAAACATGCCTGGAAAAGAGAATGGACAGAACAAATAAGGATTCTCATAACCTATTACAAACAAGGCTTTAGAATGCAGCAGTATAAACACCTGGTATCTATATCTCTTCATACACAGGTAGAACATCTAATCCTTTAGGTTCATTATTTATTGAAGGAGAAGCCAGACCAAATTTATCCATGCATTTCTGTATTCTACTGGTGGACGTACAAGGAGACAGAAATACTGTGCTTTAATGCACAGCTTAGAAGGAAGATTCAGTTGGTGCTCTCCCTACATTAAGGTACATTTTAGAACCTAGATATCAACAGCCAAAAGCACCTAGTTATGAGAATCTCACTGAGATGGTAAAACAATAAGCAGCTTGTCATCTCCTCTGCAAACTACAAACATTCAATATGGTGGCAATGTCCCCAAAACCCATCTGGAAGTGCAGTTTACTTACTGCATTAGCAGGAAACGCCCTGATCATGACAGCTGTGAAGCCCTTATAGAGAGATGCAACTCCTTCCTCTCTGATGAGTTCTCTCAGCACATCTCTAAAGCCATTTGGGTATTTTCCAGGAGGAGCTGCAAACGATACAAAACACATTAGCTAAGATATGCAGCAATCAGAAATACTTAAGGCATAAGTGATAGCCCGAGGATTTTCATCAGGTTCATACTGCTAGATGATCTAAACAGCATTAGAATCCAAGCATTGCTTGAAGCTTTGTTGTGAAAACATCTGCTTGGGAAAATGACCTTTTTCAGTCAAAAGCAAACAAACCAAGCCACCAGCTCAGTAAACAGAAGCTAAGTGCTCACCATCAACACAAAAAAATCTACATAATGAAGACATCTTGGATGGAGGAGGAGAAGAATTGAAGAGAGGAAGAACAACTTTTGTCAGGATTGGATCTGTGAGATATTCCTTCCACTGTTGAGGACAGCTCTCACAAGGCCACAATTAGGAGACACAGGAAGGTTATCAGTAAAAATTGATGAAGCTAGTTTATAAGAAACAGAAAATGATCTTATTTCATGTCCCAGCCAAAAAGCACAACAAACCACTGGGTATTTTAATGTTGATGTTATACAGATTTGTTTAAAAAAAAATAAAATTATATTCAAGGAACTGGTTCTTCCTTCTCCTGACACTTCTCTGGAAAGCACTCCCTCTGCCAGCCCTCTGAACAAGTACTCCACTAAGCAACTCAGTCAAACAGAACCACGATAAACCACACCATCTGTAAAGCAGCACTGTAGATTAGCTCTGTGGAACTGTAGATTGGCTGAGACATATTTCACACACAGCCCTCCATGGTAGCCAATGACCACAGCAGCCATTATTCACAGAAGAAAAAAAAAAAAAAGAAGTTTTCTGCACTGGATCACCATGATCTGTAATTCACAAGAGATGTCTAGCAAAGAGCTAAGCCTGCAGACAGAGACTATGGGTGAGCTTCAGTAAAAGTATGCACTGAAAAAACACAGAGAAACCAACAAAAAAAACTGTTAAACTCATGGAAAGGCCTGGGGCCATCCTTGCTATAACTAAGCCACAGATGCTTAAGAGCAGATCTGTTAGTCCAAAAGCAATACTCTCAGCAAGGCAGACACAGTTACTGTAAATTTTAGACAGTACATACTAGGATTTACAACAACCATGTCTGAAGTGAAATAGCAAAGCCCTTCAAAGACTTACATTTGTAATAAAACAGTCACAACACTTGGTTCTATTATGATGATTTCCATGCTTACGTTTCAAAACAGGTATCTAAAATGGGGATCATTATATTAGTAGGGGTGCAGAGAGAAAGAATTAGAGCCAGATTTGACAACAGTTTACAAGGAAACCAACTAAAAAGCTAGAACCACACTCTGTTCTTTTGTGTATTTGTCTCAAGCAGCACTCAAGATATGCTGCCTCCCACCAAAGAAGATACTCGAATGGCATCTTCCATCACTGCCCACCCTGTCCCCAGGGGCACTGTGCTGAGTGTGGCCATGACAATCTGGCACGCTACTCACCGGTCTGGAAACGCGATTTCAGCACATCTGGTGGAATGGCAACTGCCCAGTTGAAGATTCCAGCCAAGCCCCCAGCAAAGAGAATCCTCGGTGCACTGAGGTCACTCACACTGTGCCAGGGTTGGGGTGGGTGGAAAATGGAGGAGAGAGGAGAAAAAAAAAGAAGGAAAAAACAATGCATATTTTGACTAATGTGACAACCAACAAGTCTGGCTGATAGCCAGAAGGCTGTACAACGCTGCAGACAGAGAAGAGTTCAGTAATATGAACAAGATGACCAAGAATTAGAGCACTCTGTGCAAAATGTGCCAACTCCAGCCCAGAAGTTTGAATCCTTTCATTGAGCAGCACGAACAAAATGCTCTGCAGTGGTGGTGAAGACAGGGACAGGACACTAAACAAAAAACAGAATAGACTTCTGCACACACAGAGGGGTGGAAGAGCAAACAGACCTACTCCAAGTATTCTTTACTTGGCTAATAAAATCCAGGCCTAAAATTCTGAGCGAAACTCAGAATATCGTTCTGTCTGTTAACTCCAGACCAAAACAGCTCTAATCACACAGAGTGACTAAATTTTTTTTCTTTTACTGATGTTGCTCTAAATCTCTTCTTAACTAGGAAAATTAAATAGCAAGTCCAGGAAACACTGACTTTAGGATTTTACTAACCTCTTTCCCTCAGGGGTCAGAATGTTCTTCAGCCATTCGTATGTCATGAAGTACATTCCACTGGCTGGGACATCTAGAGGGTAAACAACAAAATCTGAGAGTGCTGGAAAACAAAACGAAGCCTGGAGACACAGGAGCCCCACGCCAGCTCAGCATCAACACTGAATATATCCAGATTGCTCTTCTGAGCATTCTCTAAAACCAAAAAAATTCTGTCATTTTAGACAGAGGAACCCAAACTTTCCCAAAGAGAGCAGGTGCTAAAAGGCAAGAACTGGGAAAATACCTGTTCTTGAGCATTTCTGTCAGCAGCCCTTCAAATAAGATCGTAATTTGGCCATTAATCCATGAGCTCCAAGCTTTCTTAACTGCTCCACAGCAGACTAGATCAGTTCAGAAACTTTAGCAGTTTAGCACACTATTTGTTCTAATGAAGCCAGACGTTTCTGTTCTTGATGGGTTTGATTTTGCTTTGTTTTAAGATACTTCCATAGCCCATTCTTAGCTTATACCTAAACTAGGCAATTAGTCTCAGGCTACAGACCCTGACAGAGCTGCTAGCTTTCCTACTACTATGAGAAGCAGATGACAGAGCAAGTTCCTCAACTGAGATATCAAAACACAGAAATTTCACCTTGTACTTGGAAAGCACTGCCTCAATACAGGTAACAGTCTAACCTTGTTCAGCAGGAGAAAGTGCCCAAAGATTCACTGTCTGGCATAGCTACTTTGTGGCTGTTTTTGTGAGAGGGGTCACGACATCCTAGTCTAAAAGTCTAACCCATACTCAAGAGGCTAGAAAGCAAACTGCTATCATCATGTCTTTTAAATCAATCAGCACTATACAGCAGTCACAGACAAAAGTCACAGTTCTTCTTCCAAGGAATGAAAAATAAGCCCCCTTCTGCATTTTTCTTTTCTTTTTGTTCTCAGCTCCTATGGGCTTTAATTCCTCTTGCTTCTCAGATCTTAATTACTTCCTACATCCCTCTGATCTTTGTCATCTAATCTCTCCCTCACTCACTGAAAATCACATGTTTATTTCTCAGTCCCTTTGAGGCACTGGAATAACTGCGGACTGCAGAAAAGGATAAAAGAGTGACAGAAAGCATCTCCAACTGGCTAAAGTGACCTATGTCAGGCTTCTTATCTTCAAGTACCCCAAGCTGAAACAGCATCAGAACGTTTCCATCAGTTACCTCTCATGAGGGTGAGTACTGTCCCCTTGTACACGCCGCGAATCCCAGCCTCGCGGTACAGCTGTTTTGCACAGTCCAAAGAGCCACTGTATTTAGTTTCACCTGTAGCTGCCTGGATCTGAAGGATTAAAGTGACAGTTTCTGGCTTGTGAAGGTTTCTGGCTGGTGAACAATCATTCAGCTAATAATTAGAAAGCCACGTGCATGTTTCCAGAGAGGAAAGAGCACATATTCATTCTTCAGGCACTCCTACATATGAAGCCTCTGCATCATTTCCTCAAAAAGCACTCTCTCATTCAAGCTGAGGATATGTTTACTGTTCCATGCAGTAGCTAGATTCTCCCTTATTTTTCACCACTCTAAGTTTGAAGCAACTGAAGACAGTTAGGTAATCTTACACTCAGACAAAAAGTAGCCTCTAAATAATTTAGTAAAGTTCAAACAATTTGTTTGTGTATAACATTTTCGTGATACTATCTGTCAGAACTAATGTGAACGCCCATCACCATGCTAATGGAGTTCGAGAGAGCCTGACATAAGCAAACCTTCTCATCTCTGCTGAAGACAGTATTTTCATTTGTTCAGGTCTATGTTTTCCTCTAATGTTTTAAAAATCCTTCAGGAGGTGTACAGCCAGCAGTCACCCAAACATTAAAAACCTGTTCCAAGGATTTTGAAATACTTTTCTCAGGAAAGACCACTAAAATTAAATTCTTGTCACCACACCCAATGCCTTACCTGTAAAAGGCACTTGATTCTCTCTCCTGGAGCCATGATTGCTGTTGTGAACACTCCTGACAACATGCCAGCTGCAAACAGCTGAGGATATCTGTGCAGAAAAAAACAGAAGTGAGACACTAACACAACACAGTACATAGGGAACAAAGGGCAGAAAGACCCCTGAATCACAAAGTTATTCTCTTTATAGAAGGCTGGTAGTGATAGTAGTAGATAGATATGCGTCTTCTGCTTTTGATCAGTGCAGAAGTACCTCATCAATGCATAATTAGACCTAAACATTTAAGGTCTCTGGGATTCGAAATCCTGGTTCCCACAGCAACCATTAATTCAGGTCTGCACATCTATCGTATTTGCTAATATTCCTTGCACTTGAATTTTTTGCTACAGCATTCTCCACTGATTTTTATTCTCAATACTCTCTTCTTCTTGCAGTCTCCCACATTATGCTTAATTATCTCAGTTTCCACATTTATTCCTGCTTGTACAGCCAGCAGCCTCACTTCCATAATCTCAGTCTCTCAGCCCTTCAGCCTGTGCCGTAGTCAAGTCTGCCCTACCAACCTGCCATCATCCCCACACACATTGCATCTACTTTCATGAATAAGTCTGTTATAGAAATCCCTTACAGAGGCTGACTTTTTCCATCTCAATTTTGACATCCAATCTCCTGTTTCCCTCCCTAGGAAAAAGATCTAATATCTTAATTTAAATTCCACACCTTTCACTTCCCTTCATTTGCCCAAGAGATGGCATTCTGTTCAGGCTTTCCAGTCCTTACACCTTTCTTTACTCCTAAATTCCCATTAAGTTTTCTCCACTCCCATCCTCCAGACCATTCAGAACTTCACCTGCCACACTACACGTATCTCCTGCTCAGACTAAGCTTTGAGTTTTCTTACTCACCTTGAGATTATTCAGCCCCAGAAAAGACAGAACAGGCTCATCAGGTTTTTTCAATCTCCTTCCTTCCAAAACCTCCCTTCAAAATCAATACTGCCATCCTGCCTGCCTCAGAACCACAACCACAGTGCTAAGAGCCTGACTTTTCTATTTGGCCATCCTTGGCATGCAGTATCTCACTGTGCCAAGGCAGCACCAAAGGTGCAGCACAGTTGTACACAATGACAGATCCACCTCTTATCTGTTGACCTTTGCTCTCTCTCTCCTGCTGCTCTGCCTGGGAAGAGCTCTACATGAACAGTCCAAAGACTATGCTGCACTTCACCTTCTCCATTAAAACTTCCCTTTGATACAGTGTGTACAAAACACAAAGCTCTAGAAATGTCTGGGCCGCTGGCAGTAAGCCCACAGCCCCTTTGTTTCCCTGTATTCTCAGTTCCTTACCCACACTCCTGGTTTTACCCTTCAGCCTTCTCTGCAAAGTTGGTAAACCGGACAGCAAGGAGAGCAAGTGGCACCAAGCACCCCTGCCCTGCCTCCTCAGGGTGATGGAGGAGCTCACTCCTCGCCATCAGAGCAGCTCGAGCTGCAGAGCCAGGTGCACCCAGCAACAGCCCTGTCCAGTCAAGGTTCCAACAGAAACTATTCCTCCCCACCCTGCTTGGCTCAACACGCTGAACTCCTGCGTTCTGACAGGGCTCCTATGCATTGCACAAATAATAGAATAAAATGTTGCTAAGCTACAGTCCTATTCTGGAGAGCTATAAATCACAATACAGCGAAGGAGTTAAGGGAGCACTTTATGGGTGAGGGCTTTCCTCAAGCCTAAGTTCACCTGGAGAGAGCAATATGAAGTTTTCTCAGCTTCCCTTCTCTCAGATGTGCCTAAGAGGAGCGCTGTTCATAAACACTGCTTTTCAGAAATTAATAACAAAGCATTTCTATGGCTACTGTTTTACTGTAAACTGAAGCAGCAAAAGTCAAAAACCAGCAGGGAAAAGAAATGGGATTCAGGAACGTCAATTTTGTCAAGACTGCCTGACCATGAATTTATTTATTCTATAGTTCCCACTAATAGTGAGTGTTCAAATGCAACTGTTATATAACTCACACTGTACTCATCTAAAATGGAATTGCTCCTTAATGGCTCTTTCTTGCGTAGAAGGGGAACTGCATGGCACCTGCCCACTTGGCGTCTGTTTTTAGCCCATGCCATCAGTCCCACGCTTCCAGAAGCGTTAAAACACACAAGTGATTTATTTTTTAGAACTATATTTATAGCCTAGGAGAAAAGACAAATTTACACCACAAATCAAAGCACGACAATGCAGGAAGCTGCAGGAGCTTTACGGTGCCTTTCCCAACTGTCCGCTTAACTCAGGAACTCACGTCAAAACGTCATCAGGTTTTTTCTGTTGGAGTCTTTTTCCCAAGCCAAATCCAAAGAAGCACACAGCAAACATGGGTGTCACCCCGACAATAGGGGCTGCCATTCCTCTGTACAAGCCTCGGACTCCCTGCAGGAAACATTATTACAAGAATTACTTGTTTTTGCAAAAGCTTTGTGCACATTTCCGTTTACTGAAAAGCAAAATGCTACAGCATAGGATAGCATCAGCAAGGCAGTCATACTAATCAGAATAACAGGATCTATTGCTCATTTATGATTATACCCGTTTAACTGTTTCAGAGGAAAGCTATCCTTTCCAGGAAATACTGTAATCTTCAACACCTTTCTGTTCCAACACTACTCATCCTGTACTTACATCTCAAGTACAAGGAAGTTGAATTAAAAGCCACCTGAATGACAGTCCTATTGGTTTGTGTTGAAAGTCCTCCCTTTCAGAAACATACAAAAAATGCAATGTGCTTTATCACTAAGACATCAAATGCAGTCGTGCGAACACCCATTGCTGAGCCTAAGAGTGTTGGATCAAATCCATGGTAAGGGAAGAGCCAGGGACATTGATGTGAACTACTAATTCAATTTAGAATGAGTTCAAGAGCAAACTTCTTCTTTCCCTTCCATAAGCCAAAAATTTTTCACCATAAACATTTACATCCTTGATGTTTCTCTTCACAAGGTTACACATACAGAAAAATTCTAATGCAGATCCCAACAGCAGTATTTACTTCATCTTACCTTTGAACTGAATATTTTTCTTATAAAAAGGAATTATTTTTCTAGATAAAAGCTATATGCACAAGTTAAATATTTGCTAGTTCCATTCATCCTCTCCCCTCCCCAAAATAAGTCAGTATGTCTCAATGGGTGTTTGTATGTGCAGAGACATAGCCGGCTCTGCAATGAAATCCAGCCTGGCTGACGAAGATCAGACTCTTCTGCTCAGTCTTCCCATGAACAACTGGAAACAAAAGGCACAGAGGTTCAGCAATTTTCCATGCAGAAACAGATGAGCACTGAGTAGGAGTAGAGAGGCAGCTTTACTCGACTGAACTCGACATCAGAAGGCTATTATTACAGCTCAGCTCTGACGTCCGTGCTTCAGCAGGGGTGTTAAAAACTGCGTGGAATTCGGAGTTAGCAAAGCATCTCAGTGCTTTGTGGGAGAGACCATGGAAGTGAGGCTTGTTTTGGTTATGTAACAACCTGTGAAATACTGCCACAAAAGTAGATTTCAGATAGGAGACATTGTTCATTTCGTGGAGAGTTACCTAACAAGATCCAGTGGTCAGAAATCAGACTTAACACGAGCTAACACCAGGGCTTTAACGTCATTATTTCCCAATGGCAAATAGCTGCTGGAAAATCTTAGAAAACAGTTAAGCGGACTCCATGTCACTTCATGTCTTTAAACTAAGGCTGCGTGCCTTTCTAAAAACAAAACAGACTATGGTTCAATCACATGATACAACTGATTCGGGACTGAAAGCCATTGTTTACCTTTGGAAGGCTAAACGAAACTACTGTAAATGCTCCACTAAAAATATATATACATGTATCTATTAACTCAAATGAACACTCCTCTGCCTTCTCACAGATGGCATAATACATCATGGAAGAAAGTAAAAGCACTGCTTGAACCAAGAGAAGTCACTGCCTATTTTAGAACTTCCACTGCCAACTCCAAATACCAAAGACAGCACAAGCCCACTGCCTACGACAGAGCCAACATTAAGTCTAGTCCTGAACTCTACAGACATTAACATTGTGCTATTTTGAACCACAAGAGAGAGTTGGAACGAGTGGATATAACGAGATCCCCCTTCAAGCTGCGTAAACTGATGAAAATTTTTATGAGAGTCAATCCAACCGATAACCCGGGGCTTTGCCAGCCTGCAGGGGGGCACTCCCACACAATTCCATTCCCGTGACGTACAGAACAACTGACGCTTTTGGCAGGGGAGCAGATGGCACACTAGTGTGACGGTACCTCTCCACTCAGAGTCTTCCTGAAGCAGTCAAAGGTCCCAGAATAGAGCGGCGGCTGGCCGGGCTGCGGCCGGGGCTGGGTCTGCAGTCTGACCTGGTGGCAGGGGACAAGAAGGCATCGCTTTATTGAGCACTGCTGTATTGCTGCCCCAGCCGTGATTGGGAGAGCGCTGCAGTGACCGCTGGGCAGCACAATGACTTTGTGATGCCTGCAGAGTATTAGCATCATTTGTTCTCTGCAGGAGTTAAGAGAACGAGCTTCAACTTCTTTAATAGCTAACGTGTTCAGCTAATTAACTGCTGAGACGATATCAGCTAACGACCCCACGCGAACGCTCCGGAATTAGCGCCGCGTTTCGGTAATTTAACGCTCGCTGGGCGCCGACCGCGGGGCCTCCACGCCGGCAGGGGGCGCTCGAGGCCCGCACAGCCCCTCCGCGAGGCACGCCGGGAGTCGCGGTCCTCGGCAGCTCCCGTCGGGAAGCGCGGTCCTCCCGCGCCATCGTGCCACCGCCCCGCGCGGCGCCCGCCGGGAAATGTAGTTCTTCCCGCCGCTTCCCCGCCCGCTCCCGCCGCACGGCCGGCGACTCCGCGCCGTCCCTCACCTTGATGGTGTCCAGCGGGTGACCCACGAACACCAGGCACACGCCCCCGAAGCCGCCGGCGAAGAAGTTCTTCACGGGGCTGACGGGCTGCGGCTGTTCCGCCATGGTGACGGTCGACGAGGGGGCGCGGAACGGAACCGGGGCGCAGCGTCCCCACCGAGCGAGCGCCGCCCCTCCGCCCCGCGACCTTTACCCCAGTGCCGAGCCGCGCGGCACGCCGGGACGCGGGGGGGGCGCGGGGCGGGCGGGAGCGCGGCGGGCCCGGAGCGGGCCGTGCGGGCGTCCCATCCGGCGCCGGCAGCGACGCGGCCGCCGCGCGTCACCGGCTCGCGAGGGCGCCGAGCGGAAGCCCCGGCTCGCTCCCGCTTCCCCGCCCCGGTGGTTCCGCCGTCCCCCCCTCCCGCGGCCCGCGCCGGTGGTGCGGCCCGGCGGCCGCGGCCCTGCCCGGCGGAAGTGACGGAGCGCGGAGGTCGGAGCTTCCGGCGCGCAGGCGGCGGCGGCCCGGCAGGAGGAGCCCGGGGTGCCGCTCCCTGCCTCCCCCGCCCGCCGCGCCGCCGGTAAGTGCGGGGCCGCCGAGCCGCGGGGAGCGGAGCGCCCGCAGCGTGCCGCCCGGCCCGCGGGCCTCGGCGGGGGGCGGGGAGCGGCTGCCGCTGCCGGGCGGGACCGAGCCGGGCGGAGGGCCCGCCGCCGCCTCGGCGCTGCCCCGGGCGGGGGGTGGCCGCGGGGTGGCCGCGACGTCCCGACGTCCCGACAGCGGCGCGCGGGGCCGTGCGGGGCCGTTCCTGCGCCCGCGGCGAGGGGCCGGGGAGGCTGAAACTGCGCTCTGGTCCCTCATAGGGCGCTGCGAGCGGGGGGCAGGGAGGGAGGCTCGTGTGGGCACGCGTGAGGTAACTTGGTACGAGTGGTGGCAGGCCGGGAAGGAGGGAAGCCCTCGCGTTGGGGCGGGGGAACGAACAAAGCCTGGGGCGTTTGGGGAGCGGGCGGATCCCCGGGGGGATGCGGTGTGGCTGCGGGGAGATCCCTGCTGTCAGCCGTATGAGGGAGCCGGGGGCCGCTGTCCTGCTTTCTCACTCCTGGGATGAAAAAATCCCTCAGAAATCTCAGCGGGGAAGGAAGCGGAGAGCTGCGCCCGCCGTGTGCGCGAGGAAGCGGCTGAAGATGATCCCGGGATTACGGGCTGGGGTGACATGGACAGGGATGTGATTAACATCGATGGTGCTGAGCAGCTGGGGCTGTGCTGGGGTTCGGAGGAAAGCAGGTGAAGTTACACAGAGAGGTGGTGCGGGAGGCAGGCCAGGATAGCTCTTTGCTTGCTTCAGAATGATTATTGAGGAAATGGGAGAAGAAATATCCACAGAAATATGTGGATCTTGTGAAATAGCTACAGAAAAAGGAGCGTCTTCCAAAGGACTTGTTAGAGGAATCCTGCAGAGGTAGATACAGAGGGTGCGAATCAGAGAAGAGTGATGCAGTGAGGTGAGATGCACAGTGGGATGTGGTAATTCAGTGCCCGGTAGTGGAGGGGTTAGAGACTGCTGGTAGCACAGCCAAAAGTGTTTATTTCCAGAGATCTTGCTGAAGACGAGGCATGTTTCAAATCAGAACTCAGCATGGGGCATCCTGTCGGGGCTGATAGGTGCCGAGTTGGGGCTGTGGGTGCCCCTGGAGCAAGGCAAGGAGAGGTTGGGTGATTGCATCAGTGTTAAAGAGGATGAGGAGTGCTTTGGATGGAGGTGACATTAGGACCTCATGTTCTGCATAGAAAAGTAACCGGAATACTGTTTAAAATTTTATAATCTGATCTTTAGGATTATGATATTAATTAAATTACTCCAAATTCTCTTTGTTCTTTTGACCCTCTCTTTTGAGTTTATCGTATTTACTGTCTTAAACTAGTGCTATCAGTATTAGCTATGTCTCGTCTTAGTTTGTATTCAGAGAGCTTATGTTTGGATCTGAGGGTGTTAGGCTGAGTGGGGCGAGTTACGCTGCTTGTTTTCTTTCCTTTGTTTTCTCCTCAGAAGCTGTAGTCGTCTTCTGTCATTCACACACATCCGTCTGTCAGTAAGTTATGCTGGAAGTGAACTCTTTCCCAGAATGTTGTGACAGGGCTCACAAAAGACGTCCAGCCTGCAGGCTGTTTTCTGCATGATGTGTCTGATTTGCCCATGCGAACAGTTCCTCCGTTTGTTCAAGTAAATGTGGCACAGAGAAAGGACTCTGTTTGTGCCTCCCCAGTGGGGCTGGTGTGTAACTGCTCTGGTGCTTGCAGGTCCCTTGTCTTCCCAGGGCACCTTGTTGCTCTGAGATGTATTGCTATACACTGAGGGCTGTGATTTAAATGTGGTGGTTTCTTCTGTCTCTGAAGCGTGGGATGATCTGATCAAGTCTGACTTTTCTGACTGGAGAAACAAGCTTGGACTCTGTGATGCTTTGAGGTTTGCTGAGCAGAACTGTCACACGTTTAGCTGCTGTTACCTCTTAGTAGAGTGGTTTTAGGTTCTCACATGGGTAACTCCTTTAACATAGGATTTAACAGCAAAGATCCATTGCATCTTTTATGCAAGAGGTCTGTGTTGATGCAGGTTAAACCCAGAGATGAACTGTGAGCCTTAGCAAGATGGACAGAGGGACAGTACAGGTTTGCCTTGTGTCTGCAAAATTAGATTTCACATCTGGAGCCTTCCAATATGGAGAGACAGTGCCTCTGCTCCTTTGGACTTCTGCAGGAGGCAATGATATAAATTATCTGTATGTTCTGTTGTGAGTAGCTCAGAAATCAAGAGGCAAAGGAATTGGAAACCAGAATTCTTGGAATAATATAATTAGCTCCTGGCTTTCAGCCTCACTCAGTGGAGGAGGTTTCTGTCTGCTGAAGTCGCTGCAGCTTCTCAGATTGAAGGTACATCACATCTCTTCATGGTTTATTTGTGCTGCTTGCTCGGTTTAGTGCAACCAGAAAACAAATCAGTTGAGGCAAAGTAATGAAAACTCATGGTAGAGATTTCCTGTGCTCTGAAGTCAGGAGTGTCAGAGCTTCATTATGGTTTCCCTGGCAGCTACAAATTGTGAAACTGTGGGTGTATATGTGCAAGGATCGGAGTTAACAACGTAATGATGTGAAATGCCATACATATATATATATATATATAAGAGAAACTGAACATATGCTGCCTGTAGAAAACACAACTTTCATATATGAATTTTTGTACATAAAAAATTGTTTGTAGCATTGTGTTTTAATTGTCTTTATTTATTTAATGTTCTCTATAAAAACTAAATCAATTGATAAAATGGAAATTTGTGACTAAATATGAGATGACCACAGTCTAAGGCTGATAAGTGCTCTACCTGCTGGCACTCTCAGAACTCCACTTCTTGCTGTTTTAGTTACAAACCTTCTGCTGGTGGAGTTCAGATAAGTCAAGTCAAATCTGTGAATTTTCCAGTACTGGTGAGAACTGTAACAAATAGGTTGGTCGTTCCTATTTCTCTTGAGCAGTAGCTCCCACCACTTGAGTATATCAATTTTTATATTCAGAAGGTAATGTGTAAGTACATTGAGAAGGTAACAACATGAGAGCACTTATTTTACTTCCCCACTCAGATGTAAGGCCCAAAGCACATCATGTCAAACAAAACCTCATTAAGGGGATTAACTAATTTCACTGTTTCTTTGAGATGGTATTGAAGACTGTTAAATTGGGTGCATAAGATAACTATATTTGCCTGTTGTGTTTTCCAAAGTCCCACTGAATTCCGTGTTTCTGAAGCAATATGGACTTGTACAGGGTACCAGAGGTTGCCTTCCTCGCTCCAGTGATCATAGCTAAGGGGTTTGTTTTTTTCTGTTGACAAAATGCAGATTTCTGCACTGCTGCAGGTTGTTGGTAAAAAGATAATGTTGTAAATCTAGATGTATTTCTGAAGAGATGAAGGTTATGGAGCCCCTTTCCAAATGATGAAATCCTGGGGGCCCTCATGGATGGTGATGCAGCCATGTAGTAACACCCTCTCTCAGGTCTTACACATCGCCTGTCAGAGCAGCCCTGGCCTTGCAAGTGCGTGAGTTGTTGCAGCAGATCCAAACCAGGGACCTGTGCAGCACAATCTTTGGTCTTGGGTTGCTCTTTTCCTGTCTGTTGGGTCACCTGTATGATGTTGACGTGGCCTCTTACCATTTATTAGGCAACAGAAAAAAATTCTTTTTCCCTCCTTAGGAGACAGAGCTCAGATGAAATCAAAAGAACGATAAAGTGTGGAGGAGAACAAGACGCTGCAATTGCTTTCCTGTTCTGCAGTTTGGCAGGGCATTAAGATGTCCGTGGACATGAACAGCCAGGGCTCTGACAGCAATGAAGAGGATTATGACCCTAATTGCGAGGAGGAGGAAGAGGATGAGGATCCGGGGGATATTGAGGATTATTATGATGGGGTAGCTAACGACGTGGAGCAGCAGGGAGCAGATGCCTTTGATCCAGAGGAATATCAGTTCACCTGCCTGACTTACAAGGAGTCGGAGAGCACTCTGAATGAACACATGGCCAGCTTGGCTGCCACGTTAAAGGTGAGGAAAGGTTTCCACATTCACACAGTGGCGAAGTAAGTCTGTGATTGAAAAGGCGAATGCCAAACACACAGTTTGAAATAAAAGCTGTGACTGTGTTACTGTTTTGGGGAGCGTGGTGGATGTTACTGCAGATCCTTTGTTCAGAACTGACTCAAAGGTTTACAGTTGCATACTGATTCTTGGGCCTGAAAATCTCTCATACTGTATGTTGTTTCTTACAACGTTTTTTTTTGCAGAGCTGAGCTTCATGTGCATTCTGAGTTAAAACTTGTTGCATTGTGTCTGTGCAAAGGGATTATATAGAAAAGAAACAAGTCAAGTCAAAGATGATACAAATTAGTTCAGCTGTGTTTGAGATGCTAACTGACAGATAGGAAGATGTGCTAAAATTCTAACAAAAACACCTTACTCTGTTGGTTCTGAGAGAATAATCATAGGCTTCCAAAGAAGAAAGATTAGCTGTCATGTCAGGTATTAACCCTAACTTTGCAGTGACAAGCAATTAAAGTACAATGAACTTGCCAGCTCTTGTAGTGACTAATTCATTGCAGAAGATACTCACTCCAAGTCAGCTCCATGATATTGTGCTCAGTGAGACCTCTGTGAAGTTTTTCATCTCTTTGTGCCAGTGATGACTCTAGTGTATACCAGCAATAGGAGGCAGTTCC